TATCTTCAAATAAAAAGAAAAAACTTTGTGACATGCAGAAAATGAATCAATGCATAATTTATTTTTTTCAACTATGAAACATATGTCACAAAAAATAATTAAAATTCATTAAATAAGATTTTTTGGAATGTTATGTTTGTAAAGGCACATCCTTATACAGATAAAATATTCTATCAAATATATCTATATTAAATATAATAATATGCTTATACCAATAAAAATTTTAGTCTAGCAGAAGAGCAAAGTTTGAAAATGTTAAGTGCCATAATCAATATTAGGACTTTAAAAATAATTCATGTCACCATTGGAAAGCTAAAATATGTGGAGTTAAAATCATTTATTAGACTGAACTGAATTACTGCAAGATTAGAGCCATATGTTCAGTATAAGACATCATGGATCAAAGATTAACAATCAAATGAATTAATTAAAATGAATAATAATATGCAAAATTAGCATGCATAAACAATTTCTTGTGTACAACAATATATGACTCAGATTAAATTCTTAAAACTTGATAACATAAAATATAATATTAAAATTGCACTATTATCATAACTTAATCATAAAAATAAACATACAACTTTAGTAAATTAACTATTCTGGGACTATCTACTACCATTATGTCCTGATAATTTTTTATTTACATTCACATCAAATATTTGCTTTCAGAGATATATTCTCCCAGTGGATTAAGTCCATTTCACATTTAAATAAATTTTAAAACCCTTTTAAAAATTCTTCTATGGATGATGTTTTAATAAGTGTTACAGGTGATCATGGCATTTTCCAGTTTGTGATTGTGTTCAATGAGTAATAAAACATAAACAATTTAATCTCTATGAAATTTCACAACCAACTTTGAGAAATTAATTTGAGAATTATAAAAAAAACTTTGTCATATATTTACAACTAAAATAGTAAATTATATAACAAAAACTTATCCAAAATGATTTTAAAAAAAAAAGAAATGGAATGATTCTGAGCTAGAATGATGAGCATCAATCTAATGGAATGTAAAATTAAAGCATTTAGTAAAGCTACAACAAAGTACTGTGTCATGGCATTAGAGAGGGTCTCAATTGGGAAGCTTCATTTTTGTATTCTTGGACTTTTTATGTCATTTTTTCCATTATTTATTTTTTGCTTGTTTTTCTCCATTTTTTATATTTCTTCATCCAATTATTCTCTTGCCATTCATACTTGGCCACTTTTCTCTCCATTCTTTATTTTTTCACAATTATTCTCTAATGGGAAGACCCAATCCAGACCCACATAAAAAGAATGTACAATTGGCTTGAATTTCTTGAATCAAAAGAATCACTTGTTTTGGTTTGATGTTTTTGTTCAAGGCAGAAAATGTTTAAATATCACATTAAGATTTTTTCAAGAAATCCAAGCCTGCTCTGTAAACCATTGCTGCCAAGAAACAAATTAAACACTGGCCTCAATGGTCATTATAGTAAAATACCAACCACATAATTCAAATAAAATTGAAATCACAATGTTAATTTATGAATATACATGAAACCTGATAATTTGAATTGAAAATAAAATGCTTCGCTGGGCGCAGCTTGATACGACCGCAGAGGTCGAACCCTGAACAGTTGGGGCAAGTATGGACACAACATTCAAGCTTGATACAGCTCTGAATTTGGATTGTGATTAAATATTTGACACAGCATAGGTTCTGACACAGAAAGAATGTGGTCTAAGAACTTCAATTTTTTTAATTTACCTATTATGGTCCAATGTCCAAAATCAAAATACATGGTTAGATTCAGCATATCAAAGAACCCCATATATTCAATTTTTGTTGAAATCAAACAAAGTTTAATTTTGGACCCCAACTTGAACAAACTTGAAAACTGGTCCCATAGTCAAAAATCTAAACACATGTTTAGATTCAGCATATCAAAGTACCCCAAGAATTCAATTTTTGTTAAAATCAAACTAAGTTTAATTTTGGACCCTTTGGACCTTAATGTAGACCAATTTAAAAAACGGGACCCAAAATTAAAAATCTAAAATCACGGTTAGATTTGGCATATCAAAGAACCCCAATAATTCAATTTTTGATGAAATCAAACAAAGTTTAATTTTGGACCCTTTTGACCTCAATATGAACCAATTTGATAGCGGGCCCACAAAATAAAAAATCTAAATACATGGTAAGATTCAGCATATCAAAGAACCCCATATATTCAATTTTTGTTGAAATCAAACAAAGTTTAATTTTGGACCCCAATTTGGACCAACTTGAAAACTGGGCCAAAAATCTAAAATCTAAATACATGTTTAGATTCAGCATATCAAAGAACCCCATATATTCAATTTTTGTTGAAATCAAACAAAGTTTAATTTTGGACCCCAACTTGGACCAACTTGAAAACTGGTCCCATAATAAAAAATCTAAACACATGTTTAGATTCAGCATATCAAAGAACCCCAAAAATTCAATTTTTGTTAAAATCAAACTAAGTTTAATTTTGGACCCTTTGGACCTTAATGTAGACCAATTTAAAAAACGGGACCCAAAATAAAAAATCTAAATACACAGTTAGATTTGGCATATCAAAGAACCCCAATAATTAAATTTTTGATGAAATCAAACAAAGTTTAATTTTGGACCCTTTTGACCTCAATATGAACCAATTTGATAGCGGGCCCACAAATAAAAAATCTAAATACATGGTAAGATTCAGCATATCAAAGAACCCCATATATTCAATTTTTGTTGAAATCAAACAAAGTTTAATTTTGGACCCCAATTTGGACCAACTTGAAAACTGGGCCAAAAATCTAAAATCTAAATACATGTTTAGATTCAGCATATCAAAGAACCCCATATATTCAATTTTTGTTGAAATCAAACAAAGTTTAATTTTGGACCCCAACTTGGACCAACTTGAAAACTGGGCCCATAATCAAAAATCTAAACACATGTTTAGATTCAGCATATCAAAGAACCCCAAGAATTCAATTTTTGTTAAAATCAAACTAAGTTTAATTTTGGACCCTTTGGACCTTAATGTAGACCAATTTAAAAACGGGACCCAAAATTAAAAATCTAAATACACGGTTAGATTTGGCATATCAAAGAACCCCAATAATTCAATTTTTGATGAAATCAAACAAAGTTTAATTTTGGACCCTTTTGACCTCAATATGAACCAATTTGATAGCGGGTCCACAAATAAAAAATCTAAATACATGGTTAGATTCAGCATATCAAAGAACCCCAAGAATTCAATTTTTGATGAAATCAAACAAAGTTTAATTTTGGACCCTTTTGACCTCAATGTGGACAAAGTTGATAACGGGGCCCAAAAATCAAAAATCTAAATACATGGTTAGATTCAGCATATCAAAGAACCCCATATATTCAATTTTTGTTGAAATCAAACAAAGTTTAATTTTGGACCCCGATTTGGACCAACTTGAAAACTGGGCCCATAATCAAAAATCTAAATACATGTTTAGATTCAGCATATCAAAGTACCCTAAAGATTCAATTTTTGTTAAAATCAAACTAAGTTTAATTTTGGACCCTTTGGACCTTAATGTAGACCAATTTGAAAACAGAACCAAAAATTAAGAATCTAAATACACGGTTAGATTCGGCATATCAAAGAACCCCAATAATTCAATTTTTGATGAAATCAAACAAAGTTAAATTTTGGACCCTTTGGACCTCAATGTGGACCAATTTAAAAACGGGGCCCAAAATCCAAAAACTTAATACACGGTTAGATTCAGCATATTAAAGAACCCCAAGAATTCAAGAATAAAACCCCATTGAAATTGATCAAGAAATAAGCAATTTATACGAAGTATCTTCTTTTGCACAATACTGTAAAATTGAATATTTCTGGCTATTGTGCAATACTGTACAATTGACAATTTCTTGCTATTGCGCAATATTGTACTATTGGATATTTCTTGCTATTGCGCAATACTGTGCAATTGAAGATTTCTTGCTATTGCGCAATACTGTGCAATTGAAGATTTCTTGCAATTGTGCAATACTGTGCAATTGAAAATTTCTTGCTATTGCACAATACTTATTATATAATAATTTACACATCCTGTTTGGTGTGTATCTCCTACCATATCATTATTATTTGCTTTTAAATATTAATCAGAAATAACCAACTTAAAATGGAAAATTTTAAAAGAAAAATAAAAAGGAAAAAAAGAAAAAAAAGAAAAAAAAAGAAAAAAAAAAAAATTCCCCCCCCAAATTTTTTGAACCCCCTTATGATTCATCACCCCCAAACTCAATCCCAGCCTTCCCTTTGTGGTATGGTACCTTGCAGTACAATTTCAGAGAGATCCATACACTTGAACACAAGTTATTGTCTGGAAACTAGAAAAATGCTTATTTTTGGCCCCTTTTTGGCCCCCAATTCCTAAACGTTTCGGGCAATTACCCCCAAACTCAATTCCAGCTTTCCCTTTGTGATATGGAACCTTGTAGTACAATTTCAGAAATATCCAAACACTTACACACAAGTTATTGTCATGAAACTAGAAAAATGCTTGTTTTTTGCCCCTTTTTTGGCCCCTAATTCCTAAAATTTTGAGGCAATTACCCCCAAAATCAATTACAGCCTTCCCTTTGTGATATGGAACCTTGTGGTACAATGTCAGAGAGATCCATACACTTACACACAAGTTATTGTCTGGAAGTTACAAAAATGCTTATTTTTGGCCCCTTTTTGGCCCCTAATTCCTTAACTGTTGGTACCATAACCCCCAAAATCAATCCCCACCTTCCTTTCGTGGTATTGAACCTTATGGTAAAATTTCATGGAGATCCATTCACTTAAACTAAAGTTAGAGTGCGAAAACCAATGTGTCTTCGGACGACGCCAGACGACGACGACGACGACGACGACGACGACGACGACGACAACGACGACGACGACGACGACGACGACGCCAACGTCATACCAATATACGACCAAAAAATTTTCAATTTTTGCGGTCGTATAAAAATTACAAGTTAAAACCGTACATGCAATATTTTGACTCTGAAGGATTAACAATTTGACCTGCATTTTAATTGTGTATTAAAAACAAAAGTTATATAGTTTCCTGGTTCTTTTCATTGAAATGTGTAGTGCAACATATGTGTGTGGAGGAGGGGCAAGAAATGTGAGGAACAAGAACTTTTTTTTTTTGTAATAATTCAAAAAGAAATAAGTTGTAAAATAAATACGTTACGATGAGGCAGATTTCAGGGAATTTTGAAAAGGATTTTTTTTTTTAACTCTCTTTCAGGAATTTATTGCTTGAAGGATTTTGGAATGGACATTGTCCCTTTCGTCCCTCTGTTGTTTCAATCACAGGTTTTCGCGACACCTTATCTAGCTTTATTCTACAAAAACATCATGAAAATAAGTATTACATATGGAAGACTACAGCTATTTTTGAAAAAATTATTTTTATGATAGTTTTTTAAGGGAAACCCAATTTCATCTCTGCATACAAAATTCGAGGTTAAAATTCAAGAAATTTCAAAAATTACAAAAATAAAAAATTGTTTTACTTGTTAATCCTTCATACATTAAAAAAATAAATAACGAAATTTCCTGAATGAAAACTGACTATTTCCTATAGCTTACTAAAACCAGCAGTCCAATTGAAAAAAAATGCTATCTATTTTGCTAATTAAGCTTTATATATGCTGTAAATTCAATGAATAGGTCAATTGACGCTCAAATATATCTATAAAAAATCTCTTTATGTAGAGTAAATTTTCTGTATACTAAAAAATCCAACAAAGGCAATAGGGGAAAAAACAGGAAAAATAGTTGACCTTTTATAAAATATTGCATATGTATATGTTCTAAATTGAAACAACCTTCATAGGCAGTTCTTAAAAATTTTACAATAATTTGATAACATTACTAAAGAGCAAGTTAAATAAATTATCTGTTTCTCATCATAGCTAATACTTTCAAATCTACAGGGATGTGTAGATGTTTAAATAATGTTTGTGTGGGTTTTTCAGTTTGTATTTTTTTTGCTGTTGATTTTTTAAGTTGGAGGGGTTTTGGATGGATATTTTTTAAACAACTTAATTCCGTTTAAGATTGTCATAAAACTCAAACTGACCATAATTTTAGACTGAAATATCTTCCTCTAACAAAAGTTAAAACTGAATGGAAATCCAACTACTGTGAATTCAGTAATTATTGAGATGTTTTTATTAATGCAAAAAAATGCAACAGTATCAAGTTGTAATAATAAAAACTTGCATTCATAATTTCAGTTGTGATTTTCATTAATAAAATTTTTGCAATCACAATAACTAGATTTTGCAATTTGCCAGAGGTCAAGAATTTGCAATATTAAATGCCAAATTAATTTCTGAATTTCAGTACTTAAATGAATTTAGATTAACATGTTTATCTCCTACATCAATATTATAATACACACTGACAGCAGCTGATTTTTTCTATTTTTTCCATGCCAAACAACTAAAACAATTATTCTAAAGGCCTGAAAAAATAAATCCTTTTTGAAGTAGGCACTGTATTCACAGTAAGACAATGTAGTTTGTTTCATAATTTGTATTCTCAATGTAGTGTGTTTCATAATTTGTATTCTCAATATATTTGACATCTTACATATAATTTGCTATTTTCCTTCTTCATATATATATACTATTGTCAGCTAACAATCCTATAAATACAACCAAAAAAAATATTGAACACATTTTGAAGATTCAAAGTACAAAACTATAAGATACCATATTTCTAAACGTAATTTTGAGATCAACATGTACTGTGCAGAGGGGAAATATTTTGCTGTAGACATAATTCAAAATTTGCACCAATCAAATTAAAAGAAATTCTTCACTTCACGCCATAGCTTCTGTTTCTTCATCTGGATGTTTGTTGTCATGGTAATGATAGTCTGTACAAGTTTCAGTGTTTACATATGTACTTTGAATGTCTGTTGTATGCTGTCCCTGCTTCATTTGTTGTTCCAATACATTAATCATTTCATTTATTTCATGGACAAGTTCTGAAAATTTGGGACGATCATTTGGGTTAAATGACCAACACTTTGACATCATTTTATATCTGCAAAAAATAATTGGTTGATGATTACCACATAAGTACATATTCTTCTTGAAGTTAATAAACAATAATATTATTCTAATAAAACGTATTTATACTGATGCCGCAAAACAGTCAATGACATTGCTGTATACTTTAAAAACTAATAGGAAAGCAGTAAAAAAGTACCAATAGCCCTTTGAATATTCTGACTATAGTTATCATTTCATAGTCACAGACTTTTCAATATTTTTTAGTAATAATTTTTTATCCTTGGCCACTTCTCAATAGAACAGGTATATACTGTAAACCAACTAATTTTCGCGAGTAGAAAAATTATGCAAATATAAATCGTCGCGAATATGTAAAACTTGGATTTTTCCTTATTTATCTACATCAAGTTAATTTGAGAATTGCGAAATTAAATCGCCGCAAAATGGGTTAGAAAGGGTTAAACGTGAAATAAAGCAGCTGCGAAAATAAGTTTGTTTACAGTATTCTATGAAAAGTTATCTCATTTAATATATAGTCTGTTCATATTGTTATCGCTGATGCTCAGGATAAAATTAGAATATGATTTCCAACAAATCTATGGTTTCCATGAATTATTTCTTAAATAGCTTTACATGAGTTTTACCAAAACTACTCAAGTTTTTATATGCATTAGTTGTTACCTTCCATACCTGTTAGAATTGCAATCAGAGAAGAGGTTGTATGAATTCATAAAGTAAACATGAACCATCTTTGAAGTGATTTGTTCCTTCCATCCCCCACCCCCAGGACAATAAATAAACATCAGCAACTATAAACAATAGCTTTTGCCAGATGTAGGCCTATATTTATAGAAATTCAAGAGTTGGCTGACATAAAAAACCCTATAATTCATATAACTTAATAAAAGGTTATTTCTGTGTAATGTTCACTAGTTCCTATTACATGTAATTTCAATCTGAAATGCTGGTTTGTCTGGTTTCATGCAAAAAAGTGAAACAAAGTGTAATTTTCTTCAACACAATTTTTCTAGCACATATCTCTCTCCCCTTTTAAAGATTTGCTTTTAATGAAGTGTTTTGTAGACCGTTGTTTGTCTTTTTGGTTATTTTTGGCTGTTGGTTTCTCTTTAAGTAATGAATTTTATCTTCCCCATCTCTTTTTTTGGTCATCAAATTTCTTTTGCTTGTGAGGCTTCTTTTCAGAATTGTTAATGCCCCCAGCAACAACATTTTTACTGGCCTTGGCTGTAGGTAGGACTTCTGATTAATCATGAAGTATCATGGTTGCATAAACAATATTTAAGAATGAACAATTTACTTTAAAAAAAAAAGCAAATCAAAGGTAATACTTACAAGATATCAGGACAAAACGGTGGTTGTGGCATTCGTCTACCCTTCTTTATGTATCGTAGAACATCCCAGTTATCTACCTCTGGGTATGGGTTAACTCCCCTTGTCATTAACTCCCACAGTACAACACCAAAGGACCACTGAAATGGTACAGGTCTTATTAACTGTTATTAATAGCAAAAATCATTAACAAAGTATATAACAGATAATGGAGTGAATGATTTTACCTTAACAGACTTGGTCATGTGTTCTGTTCACAGTTCTATACAATATGATTAAGATATCTATGGAGTTCGTTCAGATCTTGTGTCTTTTATTTGTATTCTAATGATGATAAAGGATGGATTGTAAAATACAGTATTTACTATTGAGACTCATTTGGAAACTTTTAAATAAATAACCAAAAAATCTTGCAAAAATCACTTAGAAAAAGATAGGATATAAAACAAGCTAACATTTAAAAAAAAATTAATGTTCAAAAGGTCAGACAGACTATAATACTGATGAATAATGACTCAGTGTTCTCCCCAGGATTTTTTGATAGCGCTGTGGTAAGCGCTTGATTTTTGACTATTCTCAGTAACTTTGTCACAGTGCGCGGTTTGTTTGTAATGGGTTTGTTATGATGTTTTTATAGAACATGCTGCTGATGTTTGCTCTTGTCATGTTGTTCTGATGAAGTTGCCCATTTGTTTGTAAATGCTACTGTTTGAAAATAGATGAAGAATCATTTTTTTATTTCAATTGTAAATTCAGATAATCCATAGGACTTTGAAATCTTAGCAATAAAGGTCTATAAATATACCTTTAGCAGGTCAATAAATATACCTTTAGCAGGTCTATAATTATACCTTTAGCAGGTCTATAAATATACCTTTAGCAGGTCTATAAATAAACCTTTAGCAGGTCTATAAATAAACCTTTAGCAGGTCTATAAATACACCTTTAGCAGGTCAATAAATATACCTTTATTGACAAGATATCAAAGTCCAGCTGTAGATAATCGAACAAAAATAAATACAGAAATAAATTTTATTCATTATCATGTTTTAACTGTGGCATACATTTACCATTCTCATTGTCTGTGTACAAAACCCAAGGAAAAGTATTTTTCCATGAAGGGTTAACACCAGACTAGCAATGTGAAGATTTTTTAATAGGTGAACCTGTAGAAGTAGAACATGTAGGACCCACAACCACGTCATTGTCAGTTTCTGTGTTGGGTTTTGTAACACACTGGAGCAGTGTACTATTAACCTTACGACGTTTGACAGGAGTTGACATTTTGGAACATTGTGATTTCTCATTTTTCTGATCACCATGTTATTACATTCGTATGGCTTCACCGAAATTGGACATTTAGAAAAGAGAATTTCTCAAGTCTAGTATCAGCTTAGGGTTTGTTTTTCTAAACATATCCTCCTAATTGTTTTCAAATGGTAAAATTCATTACAGTAGTTTTGCTGATTAAACAATTATTAGTTGGATTAGGTGATAATACTTCAAACATGTGCACATTGAAGCCAATTTGATCGGTCTTTAAAAAAATTGTTTAATCAAAGTTCGTAAAACAAGTCTGTGAGTGTTGTCAGTAAATGCGGTCAATTTATTTCATATTATTCCATACATATTGGCTTCTTTAGATTCTTTTTAAAAAAAAAAATGGATGACAATGTTGATTTCTTTGTTTATATGCGCTCAGTTCAATAGAACAGCGGAGATTTGCGATAGTGCTGAATATCTCAGCGCTAAAACAGCCTGGGGAGAACAATGATGACTGTTAAAAGTACTTTTCTAACAAATGGAAATTTTCTTTTCTGAAAACTCACCACATCAGACTGAGAACTATAATGTCCTTTCTCCAAACATTCTGGAGCCATCCATTTTACTGGCAATTTAGTTTTCTTGTTCTCACTAGCATAATAATCCTTAGCATAGATATCACGAGACAAACCAAAATCTCCTACCACAGCACGAAAATTTTCATCCAGCCTACAATGCCAAATATTCATTTCATTAAAAACAATAATTCACATTATGTAAATTGAAATGTCAAACTTGGAGTTCTCATGCATAAATTCCCATTGATGTTTTGGTAGCTGTTGATACAATTTGTCGTTTGTTTGCTGTCTCATTTAACTAAGAATCAAAGGCATATGCATCAAAATCCCATCCTGCTTTCTTTTTATGCTGAGAAAAACAGATTGAAAATTTTATTAAACCTGTACCTTGGAGAGAGCACCCAAAATATGTTGAATGTAATACATTTAATAACTTTTTTACCACTATTTGATAAACTTTAAGTCAACAAGGGTAACATCCATCCAATAGTAAATTCTTTAAAATTGACAAATTCCAAATGATAAATTTTGAGTGAATTACCAGATCATGAAAATTAGTAGGTTGTACTAAAGTTGAGGTTACAACTCCCTCGGGCAAAGTTGAAATTAGTTGGTTTTGGAGGTTCAGTTTAGGATTCAAATGTTTGTGCAAGCAAATGTTTCAATTTGCCTTCCACAATTTTGTTTTGTTTTCAAGCAAAATTTCTTCAGAAACATGTATAGAAACCATGAAAATAGATTCGTATTGTTTTCATTGCTGTCAAAATTATCACAGTAACAGTGTCTGTTTCATAATTTATTAGACTAGAAAAAACTGCATCTTTTTCCAGAGGCAGTCCAAATTTCACCCTGGTAAACATAAACTAATTAATTGAACATTTATAATGCTTCTTGTCAGTACGTACATTCAAAAGGGAAGAAATATATGTTACACAAGTTATAGATAATTTGAGACACATGACCTAAAAGCCTGTTTACCAGATTCTAGATCACCCTGTATCTAATTAGAAGGAAAGCATTCAATCTGATCCCCATGTTTTGACAGTGCCACACTCTCTGCAAGAAGAAGAGCCCTTAAAATATCTTCTTTTGAGAACTGTAAACCAAACTCTCTGCCAAAACCCAATATATTCTCTTTTTATAGTGGCAGTCCAAATTGTCTACCCTTCATGCAGATCAATGCTGAACCTACCTTCTTGTAAATTTTTAATTTATTTTCATTTAAGTTAACATGAAATATTTCCCAATGGACATTAAGTAAACATAATCAATAAATCTAAACATCTCATTGGTTATCATACCACATCTTCTTATTTTTAAAAAGATGTATCTAAAAATAAGAAGATGTTGTATGATTGCCAATGAGACAACTTCACCAGAGACCAAATGACGTAGAAGCAGGCAACTATAGGTCACTGTACAGCCTGCGACAATGAGCAAAACCCATACCGCATTGCAAATATTTGTCTACTTACATACAATTTCTAGCAGCCAGATCTCTGTGTACAAACTTACACCCTGATAGGTACTCCATACCTCTAGCTATATCTATTCCAAACAGGATCAGATCTTTAATAGTTGGATTCTATAAAAGAGGAGACATTAATAAAATCAATGAGCAGAAATTATCCAATAATAATAAAATTACATTGTAATATGGATTAGGTAAATTATTAGTTTTGAAAAGAAATAAGGGTGCCCTCTACAATTACAATAACAAACATGGTGGAACATAAACAAACATCGTGAAACCAGATAAAGAGGGCAAAATGACTCAACGGTGAGCTGAATGCAGGAAGACTTTGAAATTGCAAAAGTGCAAATTTAAGATTTTAACAAATCATTTTTGAAACTTGGATACATTTTGTAAGTAACAATTGAATCTTATAATAAAATAGTGTAAAAGAATATAGGTTGTTTTGTCAGTAAAAATGTTCACAGTATTTTGGTTTAATGTGCTTAATAAGTGTGCATGTGGTCCATTATGATATGTCCAGGTATTTATGAGTGATTGATCATGTGGTCAGTTATGGTACAATTTCCTTGAGCCCTATACTTACATTTTCTTCCTTTCTGATGTATGATAACAAATCTCCATGCGTCATAAATGGTAAAATAACCAGAGGCATGTCATCCATGCCAAAACATATCCCTGTTAAAGTCAACACATTGGGATTGTGGAAATCTTTCATTCTTAAAGCCTCCTCAATAAAGCTATCTACATCTAACTGTCTTGGGTCATCTTCTGTTACAGATTAAAAATGAAAAAGTGAAACACTAGTCAAGTAAAATGAACAAGTGTCATTCATAAGAAAGTTTGTATCATATCAAAAATATTTACACAAAATCTTCATAATATTACACAAATATGTACAGAACTTGTTTTTAGCAATAAAAATGCATCAATTTCATCTTCACACACAATGCTCATCCAAATTACCTGGCAAGTATTCTATTTTCTTTCATATCAAAGGTAACTACTTACAAAAAATAAAGAAACATCTGAAGAGGACTTAGTTTTCTAATAAATTTCTTTTTTTTGTGTAATAAAGTTAGAAAATAGTGTATGGACTCCTCAACAGAAAAATTTTGGCAAAAGTACAGAAACAAATTCAATATAAGGTGAAAATTTTGTCAAACTGTGCACCAATTTAACCTCATTTGCAGTTATATGTTATGACTGAAAGAAAATCTTACGATGAAGTGTTTTCACTGCTACTAGCTGTGATCCTTTGACATTAGGTACTTCTAAGTAGCCTCGATATACACAACCAAAATGTCCTAAAAAATGAATAAAAATACAAAATACAAAAATATATTTCACATTACACTTATATCAATGTTTCTGGTATAAAAAAGCTTTCAAGAATAATGCCATTATTTCTTGATTTCTTTTTTTAAGATTTTTTAGGATTTGAGCATGTAATAGGGTTTTTCTTTTTATAATAGCTTCAATCCCTTTATTATTGTTCTCTTTAATGATAAGAAGTTTTAACAATATACATCAATAAAACAAACAAAGGTAAAAGAAGACAACAGTAGCGGTCATATAATTTTCTTAGAGAACAGGAGAAGATTTACGCTGCATACTTCTCAAAATTCATGTATAAAATAATGCACATTTTGTGTGTATGTTTTTGTGTCTCTCAATCTTCGTGTGTTGCTGTGTCACTATCATATAATTCTAATGATGTATGTTATTTGGGTTATAGATCTATAAACTTGTTTCATGATGTCACAACTGTTAATTCCTACACTGGTAAAAAAAACTTCTGTAAGTGTGGATGACATTTTTATCGTGACATAATTCAAAGTGCATTTAATTACAATCATAACTACATTGTAATAAAGGTTAATTCAACAGAGTTTATTTGCCATCAACTCAAAATGAAAGCCTAATTAAACAGATACATGAAGGTAAATACCTTTTCCAATGATTTCACCAAGTGTCAACCATTCTCTCTCTATGAGAAGATTTTTATCCTTTAATACCAACAGTGTGTCATCATCCAACAAAATGGGATTTCTACCCTCAGCTCCATTTGGTAATTCTCCTGACATTCTCTGTTCAGCATAAGCTGTTATTACAAACAAGTAAAATTAAGTTGCAAACATATTTATGTACATCAAATTAGTCAATTAAACATTCACTCATTTATATTTTTGAATTTAGTGATGCATCTTTGCTTTTAGACCTTCAAATTTACAGAAAAACTGTAAAAACTGCCAAAATAGCCATGTTTTGAGATCTCATTATTAACACTTACATATGACCAACAGCCTTACCCTGTAACACATTTGGCTACTTAACATGTATGTTGATGTAAGTTAAATATATTTTTGCGTAAAGTTGTTGCACAAATTTAATTTCATCAAAACTTATACTCAGCTCAGGTTCTAACTACCTCAAGCAAAGTTGACTTTTAATAATTCTGGCTATTCTTTTTAGATTTGTTTTGGTCAAATAGCTCCCAAAGTATATAGGCATTTATACATCCTCTGCTTTAAAATATTTGCCTTTGGGCATTACTTAAGAAGGTACACCAGAAAAGTGCTTCAGAAACACAAAATTTGGTGTTATTTTCACTATGACATCACAATGATATAATAAATAATATTTCTTCCCTTTTGTGACCAGACAATATAATCCTTTATTTTTTCAGGATTTTTTTTCCTTGTTTCTTGTTCATTCAAACATGTCATACAGAAAGAGTGTTGTACACTGTCCCAGGTTGAGGGCTCATAAACATGTTTAACCCTGTCACATTCTATATTTTCCTGTTATAAGTCAGGAGCCTGTAATTCAGTGGTTGCTGTTGGTTCATGTTTGCCATAGTCGTTTTTCTTAAATTGAATTGTTATAAATTAGGCCATTAGTTTTCTCATTTGAATTGTTTCACATTTTTCATGTCAGGGCTTTTAATAGCGGACTATACTGCATGGATTTTTCTCATTGTTGAAGGTCATAGGGTGGCCTACAATTGCTTATATCCACTTCATTTGAACTCTGGGGGATAGTTGTCTCAATGGCAATCATACCACATCTCCTTATTTTTATATTACCCTTTACAATGAATATCATATCATCAAATATAAATTATTCTATTACTGAATTTTAATACATGTACATAAATTTCAAAGTAAAGCATACTCATAAAAAATATTCCATATAATAGAAAATTTATGAAAATTGTCAATATTCTTTTTAATTAGTTTGTTTAATCATCTGTTACAAATTATTACCTCAATAGCTTGACAGAGGAGAAGAAAAATATTTCTCTAATTCTTACATGATTTATCATTTTCCTGACCTGTTGATTATTTTTATTTTTAATCAACGTGTGGTACGTTTGATCTCAATTCTTCATTGGTCAAAATTTGATTATGACATCAAATTTCCTTGCTTTCCTCTGAATTTTTTATTGTGATGTCATGAAAAAAGGCAACTATGCCTGATGATGTCACATAGAAAGAACACATCATTTTTGCAGATCATTTGAAAAGAAGGATTGAGTTTGTCTGCATATCGTTAATAATCATTAAGAGAAAGAGATTCCACCACCAAATCTTGTGCAATATAATATTTATACACTTTCGACAGTTAGATTTTAAATATCTAAAATGCTTGTTAAGCCTCGCGTTTTAAATTTGAAAATTTAACTGTCTCGAGAGGATAAATATCATATCACACTTGATACAGTGGTAGAATCTATATATATACATTTCTGTATTAGTATCTTTTTCATATTTTTTTAATGAATTAGTAATACTTATTAGTTTAAATCCATTTGAAATTTAAAATAAAAAATAAAGGCCAGTAACCTAGAAAATATTGCATGCATTTGTAAATTAATTCATAGAAGGAAAGACAAGAATTTGATATTAGAAAGGGGGATAACTGTACCTTTATTTTCAGACAAACTGTCTATATCATCAGTTACTTTAATTTTAACATCAGATATTTTTTCCGATACTTTTATCTTAGTGGTTTCTGAAAACATCATGATTTTGATTTAAAGTTTATATTTTATTTTTTTTTTATTTCAATCATTTAGCAGGGATCATATAATCTACTACTGTGTATTCATTATTATTCATGGGATACCAGTTTTTGTGGATTCACTATTATTCAAGGGATACCATTTTTTGTGGATTCATTATTATTCATGGGATACCAGTTTTTGTGGATTCATTTTAATAAAGTAAAAAATTTCATATAGGCTTGTGTACAGGCTTTGGCAAATTAGAAAAGAAAATATCCACGAAATATAATTTTTCCTCAATCCACAATAAATTGGTACCCATGAAAAGAAATGAATCTACAGTATCTTAATTTTGGAGGACATTTTTTTAAAGTGAAATTGAACAGTGTCAAGACATAATTTTGATACAAAACTATAAAACCTACAATTTTTTTTTCAAAGAGATACAAATGCCAAATTCAATAATGTAAAATGTGTTTTTCAAATTCTTCTTCAAGTTATTGCTTTTAAATTCTTTTTTTGTACTTTTAATCCTCTATCAAATTAATAAATCAACTGTACTTTTTGTTGAAATTAAAATATATTCTTCAATGAAACTTTTTGGAATAGAAATCAGATATAAAAAAATTGTGAATATTTATTCATATAAATCTGCAATTTACTTCTTTTATTTTTTCAACATGAGATATAATTTTGTTTTTAAAGGCATTAAAAACTGACCATTTTGGGCATTTTCCATATCAAACACTCTTTGTCCTGCAGAGTCCAGTCCAGTAAATGCCACTTCTCGTCCTGCAGCATATTGAGCCCCATGTTTATCTGGAGACTGTTTAAAAGGTCCAATTTCATTGCGTTTCAATATATATACAAGAACTATAATGCAGAGAACGACTAACGCTAAAATTACAGCCATGGCGATGATTCCTGGTGACATGGCTGAGGATATTTCCTGCTTGTAAATTAATTCTCCTATGTCATAAGTCATGTACCCAACTTTTACCTAATGATAAAAACAAACAAATGTCATATATCAAATGTTATTTTCATTCAGAGTTACATGTCAAAAATCCATTCTTTAATATTTTGCTAGATTTTCAAAATTTGTCATACCTCTCACATCCATTGTCTTGAGAACATCAACAATAAGTAATGGATTTTGTAATTTTTCAAATTAAAACCACAAACCTTCAGATGGAATACTGTGGATTCATTATTATTCGTGGGATACTAATTTTAGTGGATTTCATGGGTAAAGATGAACAAAGTACAAATTTTCTATATGCATGTATGCACTTTGCAAAACCACAAATTCAAAGATCCACAAAAATACAAGTTTTCCTCAATCCAGGAAAATTGGTACCTACGAAAAATAAATGAATCAGTTTCAAATGTTTTATAGGAAATCAAATTTTTCTCAGTATTTAAAACAAAGATTAAAATCTTTTCACCATTTCTTTACCTTATACAAAATAATTCTAAAAATTACATTTAAAGTTTTTGCATGGTTAGTGTGACACATGGTCATAATATCCAATGAAAGAATTCCCCTTCAAGTGATTTACCTACCTTGAGCACTGCAACCACAGTCTACATGTGGACTAAAATAATTTAATGATCTTTTGGAAATCAGTACATGTACTTCTGACCTCAGACTCAAAGTACATACTCGTACTGTTACCCACATTCTTTATTTCAGACAAAGAATAGTTAAATTTGGCATACAGTACTATATATGAACCATAATAGGTAAATCTCTGCAACCAGTACTACTGTTTTCTTACTACCTACCTCTACTCTTTCCTTATAACAAACAAATAATGGTATATCTTTGGGTACACAGTACAATCTACCACATCCTTCAATCCTCTACATGAATTGACAATGGGTCATCTACTACTGACCTCAGACTACCTACCTCTACTGTTCTCCTGGGTTCATTATCACCAACTGATGATGGTTTATCTTTGGGTGTACAGTACAATACAGTTGCCCTCATAACAGTCACTTCACATACACTGTTACCAATGGTAACAGTCACATCTTTTGTTGTCACACCATAATGCAAGTGTTCACCCTGTAATTTAACAATGGCATTAATTTCACATACCACAAGTTTATGCAACAAAAGGCTAAGTTTTTGCATTTTTATAATAAATAAAATGTTTTGGCTGTTTTACTTAGTTTTATCATACCTGTTAACTGTCAAATTTAACTATTTATATTTAGAATTGAACTTATTTTTAATTTAATGATTTTTCTGTATTTAAAGACTAATATACCTTAATTTCCAGCCTCTCCTCTGTAATCAAAAAGTATCTGATATGTTCATCTTCAGTGAATGGAAGAAACACAGGATTAAGGAAATATTGCATGTATGACATGGACAGAGGTAGTTGTTTGACTGACTGAATGCCATCCATTATGAAACTTAAATAGACTGATTTGTAGCCACAACAGGGCAAATTGGTCTCCAGGACATCTTTTATACTTGGTGCAGGACATAACAAAGTTGTCCCATCTCGAGAAGAGTTGTAACAAGCCTGAAAAATATTTTAAATGTATTAAAAAGAGTCTGAAATGGTCACCTTTTGCATTTAACTGTGATGGATATTAGTAGACATGTCTGAACAAGAAATGAGCTGTCATATTGACAGCAAACCAGGTTTTCTGTATTTTGAAGATAACAATCATTGAATGTTTTCTAATGTATGGCATTACAGGCTTGTTTGACCTGCCGCTTTTTGTGTCTATTTCCATTCTATCAAGGTTCATATGTCCTGAACAGTAAAAGTGAAAATAATCAATATTCAACTTGACCTCTATTTTGTCATTCATAACCACATATTAATATTTGGAAAGCATTGGCTGAAAAGTTCAAGAGTTATTACATGGAAACGACATCAAGTGTAATTTTCCAATCTATCCAATCTATCAAGGAACATAACTCCTGAACTGTAAAAATTGTAAATCGTCAATATCAAACATGACCTCCATTTTATCATCAGTAACAACATTTAAAATTTTAAAAGCGTTTGTTGAATGGTTTATAAATTATTGCACAGAAATTGCCATCTATCAAGGACTGTAACTCTTGTTGAAAAGTTCATAAACAGGAAAATGACATAAAGTGCTATTTTCTGATCTATCAAGGACCATATTACTCCTGAATGGTAAAACCCAAATCATAATTATCAAACTTACCCTCTGTAATAACATATTAAAATTTCAAAAGGATTGGTTGAATGGTTGATAAGTAATTCAGTGTTCCATCCTGCACAAAATAGAGGACAACACATCCTTAATACCTATTCCCATGCCATTCTGTTCTTTAAAGCCAAAAATGCACCCTTCTGCAGATTCAAAATTATACTTTTCAAATTGTCTTACAGCTTTTCTAGTAAAACTGTTACCTGATTGTGTAAACACTACAATCAACTGACATTGATATAAAAATACAAATAAAGATAGAATTTAGCAGTTTATCACCTGTGTTGATGATTGGCTTTTACTTATAAGGTGATTAATGATAATTGAAAATATACTACATATTTAATACAAGATGAAAATATCCACTTGTGTTCCTTTCATAACTACATATTAAATCATACCTAGGTGATCAAACAACTTTAAATTAAGCATTTTTGACAAAATTTTACATCAATGGGCTGTTGATGCATTACGAAATTTTGTTTTCAGACAAAATAATTTAATGGGTTAATGACCCATTAATATAAAATTTATCAAAAATGCTTAAAATTGTTAAATTATATAGGTACAATTTCTGTGGTAAGAACATATATCAGGTCATTTACAATAACCAACAATGCCCTAATTATTTGGTTGATTGCGACAAAGTGCCTTATCAGTCAACTAGACCTTACTGCCTCGAGATTCAAGCTTGAACATTGCTATTGAATGGAAACTGTTGGTAGCGAACCATCACTGTCCCCTACCCCCCATACTTCCCTTTTTAAAAAAATTAAAACCTATGGAAAACTGTTTAAAAATCAACTTTTAAATGACAAGAAGACATTTATAGTTTTTAATTGTATAATATATTTACCACTGGAACAGTTTGCTTGTTGTTATTATTAACTACTAGTGTAGCTATGATCATTGGTTCTGATATAATGTGAAGATTAGTTCCAGTTACTGTCACAGTTGTTCCTCCACTGAAAAAAGAAAGATCTCATAAGTTTGTCATTTGTTATTGTATATGTTCCTGCCCATATGAGTATTTGGACCATACACGTATGGTCGACCATACACGTATGGTCATGACGTAATATAGGTATAAGCATATACTCATATGGTCCGGTTAATTAATACGATGAACTTTTAAAAGATACTTTTACTGTAAATTGCATAAGTATGACCCTTCAAGGTGTCACAAATTAAGAGTCTTTAAAATGAAATTATGACTCTTTTATTCATATGTTAATTTATTGTTTCGTATACATGTACATGATTAAAGAAATAAAGGGAATTTTACTCACAAGTTAAATTTATAGTTAATTCATTTTTACATCATCAAAATCGATTGTTCTCTACGAAACACTATATGTCGACTTAGAAAATATCTAAATCTATAACTGTTAAACAATAAGTAAACTGTTTTACTCATAGGCAATTTGGGCATTGAACTTCTTGTTTTAATTATTATTTTGGTGTTTAACTTTGTTTTTAGTTAAATTTAATTTCTTAAATATTTCAAATTATTTTTAGTGCTACGTGCATTTGTGAATTAATATGTTGTTCGGTCACTCGTTGAATAAAATATATGTGTGATTCCAATTACAATCTGAAAAATAGAAATAGGGTCAGTAGGCCAGCATTTTAAAAAAAAATAATTTTAAATCGGGAAAAAAATTGTGTATTCACAGAGCCCAACTCCGGTATTATACATGTCCCTACTGGAGGTTCACCATTTTCTATATGTTTGGTTTTAAAATAAACAGACATGTTATGTTTTAGTTAATTTTGTTGAATTCTGTTACGAATTTTTTGCATTTTTAGCCGTAGTGGATACTTCTAATGGAAATTCAGATGACAGGAGTATGTGAATTTGATTATTAAAATTCACCTTCCACAAAATGGGATCTTTCAAAATTTATTTTTCAGAATTGGAAAAAAAAGTTCTAGATTTTGGTGGTTTACACAAGGATCGGTCGGGTCCACACATATATTTTTATTTGGCCTTAAGAAATGAAACCACTGGAAATAAACTGGATATGCCGTACCCCTGTATAGATTTATGTGGTCCAATTGATGTGACAGTTGAGTCTTCCATGAATCGGTAACTTTTATTAAACTGGTATGTAAATCCATCTATGTCCAATCTTATTGACACATCATACACTGGACTTGGACTGTTGGTCTCCCTCTTCCTCCTACGTTTGCTGTACACTAACTTAGGTGTCAGACATGTCAAACTGGTACCCTGTGATCCTCCACTGCAAGCATAAAATATAACCTTTAAAGGGGTTGTAAAGTCATTGCGAAAAAAGAACTTTTTGTTTATTCAAATTGAACTTGGCTACAGCCTTGGATATTCATTAATATATAACATTGCTTTTCTCTGTTACCAATATAATCTTGTTAGTCTATGTCAACATTATCCACAACTTTATTTAGACCTGATTGATTTATAGCTTGACACATTGCAGACACATGTTGAAGACTACAGTTGACCTCTAGTGTGTAGTTGGGTTGCTGTGTCATTAAAATTAATATAGAGCAAACACATCCCCTTTATTCATAATCAAGATACTAAAATAACCTTGAGGAATATCCCATCGTCATGACTGTTAAGTTATCAAGTGATGATATATTCAATATGATGTCATAATTTATTATTATCTAAATGTACTGCAAATTCAGAATTGATTGATTCACACACAAAAAAACTTGCAGTTTAAGTTGTGATAACATTATTTTCATGCAACATTTCTGAAATCGCAATAATCAGCCTAGCATTTTTGTCCAAGCAAATATTCCGAATCTACAGTGGTTAATTATATTTGAAATATCAACAAGTTTAAATAGGCATAATTCTCTACCGAGTCCAACCTAGTATTTTTCTGTTGATGTTAACTGCATGAAGTTCAGACCAGCCATCGTATAACACATAGAATTGAACCATCGTCATAAATCTGAACATGTTTTAATTTACATCAGTGGCACCTGATATGGGTTATACTTTATCAGCAAAACGTACAAAATGAATTTATATCTAGTTTTAAAGCTTATTATAGGGTATAGATTTGCTCATTGTTAAAAGCCATACAGTGAGTTGTTCATATTCTTGTTTTTTTTCTTTTTGGTGATATTTTCTTTATCAGAAATCATATCACATCTTCTTATTTTCATATCAACATGTGGCATATTTGTCTTGGCCATTCCTTACAGGAATATAGGCATAATGGTTTAATAGATATCTTGCAATCAGTCCTCAGTCACTATGCTGTACAGACCTTGGTTCAATGACACATTTTTGTCCCGCCACCTGAACAGAATGTTTTGCTCCGACATTCAGATTCTTTCCAGATATCACTAACTTGGTCCCTCCAGATAAAGGCCCATACTTTGGTGTGAAATCAAGGACTTCTGGAGACTGCAAAATAAATTTCAAAATCACACATCATACATCATTTATTTCATACTCATAGGAGTAAGTTCGGTATGGGACTTTTTTTGCCTTCAATATTAAGTCCATTTTTTCAAGATAAAAAAAGTTTCAAGTTGATAAAAAGACATGTAAGAATGGAATATAGAACTATTCTTTTCGACTATTTTCATAAGGCTTTGACATTTTCACCCAAATAGACCAAAAACCCAAGATTTTGGTGAAATTTAAATCTAGGCTTCAGAAATATAATGGGCAAGGTTTTGACAAACAAAATATTCAGGTCAGATATGTAATTTTTTATAATGAACAAAATGTCAAAAGATCTTAATTGTCAATCATTTGCCCTGTAGGTTTCTGGTCGCAAAACTTCATGAATGATTTTGGCACATCAACGTCAATGTGGCGTCATACAAAATGAAAACTTTCGAACTGAAGTTATAACAATATTTCAACTGTGGATTTGACAGTAAATTTTAGCAAATGAAAACATTGTTCCACAAAATTGCTGGTTTGAAAAAAAGAATAATTTTTCAATCTTTATTACTTGATTTACAATAACATTTCATGTATACAATGGGAAGTGCGATATAGTACAAGCAATTTGATTGGATGATGGAAAAAATACTCTTGTCTAATCAGATTCTACAATAGATTGGATCTAACTGGCTGTCTATGAACTAAGTGTAGTAGTCAGCAGAGAACCAGCTTAATTCCTATCATATAAGAAAACACATCACTGAATCCAAAATATAACATTTAAATATAAATCAAAGTTATCAGACAATTCAAGAATTAATTCCAAATTAAATTTATTCACATTATAATGCAGTTGATTCATTATATTATATTGGAACATAGAAAATGACAGAATTTTGTAAGTATATCTTCTTTAATTATATTTCTAAATAGTTATTTAAAAGTAAAGATCAATGATCATGTTTTCAAGCCAGAGATAACACAATTTATATCTATCTATATCTGTTTTGTTTGTATCTGTTGTTTCAAGAATGAAACATCAGTTTGTGTGAGCACGTTTTATGTAACTAGAAAATCAAATGAAAGCAGGCAGTCAACTGTTCACTGGCATAAGATAAATACCAAATCAAATGTAAGCAGGCAGTCAACTGATCACTGGAATAATGGTTCATACCAAATCAAATGTAAGTAGGCAGTAAACTGATCACTGGAATAAAGTTCATACCCAATAATATGTAGGCAGGCAGCCAACTGATCACTGGCATAAGGTAAATACCCAATCAAATGTAAACAGGCAGTCAACTGATCACTGGAATAAGGTTCATACCCAATAATATGTAGGCAGGCAGCCAACTGATCACTGGCATAAGGTTAATACCCAATCAAATGTAAACAGGCAGTCAACTGATCACTGGAATAAGGTTCATACCCAATAATATGTAGGCAGGCAGCCAACTGATCACTGGCATAAGGTTAATACCCAATCAAATGTAAACAGGCAGTCAACTGATCACTGGAATAAGGTTCATACCCAATAATATGTAGGCAGGCAGCCAACTGATCACTGGCATAAGGTTAATACCCAATCAAATGTAAACAGGCAGTCAACTGATCACTGGAATAAGGTTCATACCCAATAATATGTAGGCAGGCAGCCAACTGATCACTGGCATAAGGTTAATACCCAATCAAATGTAAACAGGCAGTCAACTGATCACTGGCATAAGGATAAATGTAAGCAGAAAAGCAATGGATTAGTGCTGGACCAAGAACCTTATTACCTTTACCATGCAAAAATGACTTAAAATGATCATTTTAAAATGTTAAAAATCTTACATAATATAATTATGTAAGAAAAAATAGATGTATAATAACAACTTTTATCCAAGATATATTACCATATAAGAGAATATCAAATCAGGTGATGTGTATTCTCCATTTATCTGATAGGGTCTGTTGTTGCTATCATTAACTATAACCTTGACTTGTCCTTCACCTTCAACAGCCATCTTCTGAGTAGTACATGTAATTCTGAATTCACAAAGTAATATTTTAAGTATATAAAGAAAAAAAATCATCATTATATTCTTAAAAACCAAAACGGAATTGATTATTAGTGATTAGTATTAGCTGATGAAAGCATGAAGCTAAAACTCAAATCTTAATCATTTGATAGGTTTGACTAGGTTAATCCAGAAAAGAACTTCGAAGGCATGAAATTTTAACGTGTTGTTTTAATTTTTTCTCACACTCTGCTGAAGGCCATACAAACAAGACAAAATAACAAAGACTGTAAACTTACATCTTATTTGATTACCACATACTGAAAAGTGTTGAAAAAATAATAATTTTTGTCCGAAAATGAATTCAGGGTTGATAACAGATCTTTTAAGTCTATGTTAAACTAAACCACAAAGTGTCTATATTTATGATCTAAATCTTGACATACAGTTTAGACATTTATCTACTATTTAAAGACTGTATGTTAACCTCTAGATGCCCTTTTCTGTTTATTCACATGTGTTGTTTGAATGCTGTTTTATTGATATAAATCCTAAATCTTTTCATCAACTCGTAATTATATATAATGTCTTTGTAAAACATTGTTGATATTAAAAAAATATATGAGAATCAAATAATGTTAAAGCAGAAAATTTGGCCAGATATATATTAAAATGTTTGTCCCTGTTTGAAATATTCTACAGATTTAAAAATAATAAAATTCTGTCATATTATTTCCAGTGCTTAATGAATTATCCTAAGTTCATATATTTTTTTTGCTTCAATCATGACTTTAAAACCAATTTGACCCTCATAAAATTAAAAGTTACTATAATAAAAAGCTTTGCTTTACTTCCCTCAAGTTTTTGTCAATGTCTTGAAACTTACTTTGTTGATGTTATTGTTGTTGTTGTAACCTGGCAGATATCTTTTCCAATAGTTATTTCCCTTACTTCAGCAAACATCGTACCAAAATTTTGTCCTTCCAATGTCAGCAGTGTTCCACCATTAGTAGGTCCAGAAATGGGGGAAATCTGAGAAAAAAAAAGTATAGATAAATTTATAAGCCATATACATATACAGGAAAAAAATAGACAGATTCAAACTGAATATAGATATGCAGCATTTCTAACAGCTTGTTTATAGTCTAAGGTAATATATTTTACTTTTATATTTCAAGTCTTGACTTTCTCCTTTGGCATCTGTATTTTGCATAATTATGGAAAGACAGACAACTATCAGGAAAGGTAAAACTTGGGAGTGTTACCATCAAAATTTCATAGAATGTATCCATTGTATATACAGAGTTCTCACTATTAAAGGTGAGTCCATGAGTCCTGGTCTTATGAAAATCTGTCTGGACTCATCATTTTCAAAACTGGTGAGACTAAAGATGCATCAAGATTGTAAAATGTTTTATCAACAGAGCACAAATATCATTTTTTGACAAAAGTTTAAAAATAATCAAAACTTGATGTTTTTTCCTAGCTAGGGGACTGACAAAATAAATGATATAGCAATAACATTTCATCTTCTCACTGTTGGTCTTGACGTATACTCTACATATCTTTTTATTCATAAATACTTCATCTACAAAGGTGGACAATTATATTCTTACTTAATCTTTGCTGTGAAGCACACCATTTGCCACACCCATCATAAGGTTCAAAGTTCAAAACCATTAAAGTGCTAAAATTTAAGGATACTTATTTTATCTATAAGAAGAGGAAATCAGCTTTGTTATTTGTTACTTTAACTCTTACATCAACCACAGCTCTTGAGGGTCAAAACAAATACACTTCTAACAGGTCATATGAACTTACTTTATTTATTATTGGAGGACAACTTTGTCCTGACCATTCAGAGCTACAACTTTGTTGTGAGGTACACTTGTTTCCACACCAGCCACAACCTAGAGGATCAACACCAACACACTGCTCACAGGTTGTATGTACTTCACATGCATCTAGCGGAAACTTTGTCACCTGTAATTATATTACAGGTCAATGTGATATACTAATTTGCATTCAATCGATGAACTTTATATACAGGTTTTTCGCAATTTGTCGCTACCTAATCGTGGCATCTGCACTAACACTGTAACAAATGTTTAGGACTTTTTTCCTGAGATACCTTTGAGATAAAGAAGGAACTGTGTTAGAAAAAGTTCTAAAGCAAAAGCATCTTGCTAAATAATAAATACCCAGTGAAATTCTACACAATAAAATAATCTATCTAATAGAAAAGATATGGAAGATTCTAAACTCATTAATCAAAGGGAAAGGCCATGGCAAAAAAAAGAACACAAAACACTGCAGAGAACAAGAATGTGTCCATAGTACACGGATGCCCCACTCGCACTAACATTTTCTATGTTCAGTGGACCGTGAAACTGGGGTCAAAACTCTAATTTGGCATTAAAATTAGAAAGATCATATCATAGGGAACATGTGTACTAAGTTTCAAGTTGATTGGACTTCAACTTCATCAAAAACTACCTTGACCAAAAACTTTAACCTGAAGCGGGACAGACGGACGGACGGACGAACGTACGAACCAACATACGCACAGACCAGAAAACATAATACCCCTACTACTATCCTAGGTGGGGCATAAAAAGACTGAACAACATTAACTCCAACAAAAACTGGTAGTGATCTCAAGTGCTCTGGAAGGGGGAAACAGATCCTGTTCCAAACGAAAACAATCTGTTATTAAGAATTTACAATCATAATGTTCATCCATATATTTGACAAAATCCCATGTATTAAACAATTAATTACCATTCAATAGTTATTAGAAGATTTAGTTAAGCATCTTCTACAGAGGTCTCTATGACTCACTCATTGCTAATATCAAAGCCTACTGTGGAATAGAACCTTGACAATATTAGTGATTTAGATCGAGGCCTCATAAAATTAAAGGAAAAACAAATACAATGGCATGATTCAATAGATATAATTGATCAACCAGCAATGCTAACCATTAATGGGGAATAGGATACCGATAATAAACTTATCTTTAATTAAAGAACCTTAGTGAGCGCGCTCACATACCCCACGTCCCCACATTGTCACTGGAGAAATAAAATAACTGTAAGAAAAAAAAATTGAATCATAATTTCCTGTCGATATGCACATCTACATAGTATGTCCTTATTATCTACAAAGTTTCATGAAATTCTGTTGTGTGGTTTCAGAGGAGTTGCAATGACAAACTGTTGCAGAGGTATATTGAAGCAAATAAGTTCAAAGGGGTGTAACTCCTAGAAAAAAAATTGAATCATAATTTCCTGTCTATATGCACATCTACCTAGTATGTCCTTATTATCTACAAAGTTTCATGAAATTCTGTAGTGTGGTTTCAGAGGAGTTGCGATGACAAACTGTTGCAGAGGTATATTGAAGCAAATAAGTTCAAAGGGGCGTAACTCCTGGAAAAACAATTGAATCGTAATTTCCTGTCGATATGCACATCTACGTAGTATGTCCTTATTATCTACAAAGTTTCATGAAATTTTGTTGTGTGGTTTCAGAGGAGTTGAGATGACAAACTGTTGCAGTAGTACATTAAAGTAAATAAGTTCAAAGGGGCGTAACTCCTAGAAAAAAAAAATTGAATCGTAATTTCCAGTCGATATGCACAACTACATAGTATGTCCTTATTATCTAAAAAGGTTTCGTGAAATTCTGTTGTGTGGTTTGAGAGGAGTTGCGATGACAAGAAACAGGACTGACGGACTGACAGACTGACGGACGGACAGACGGACTGACGGACAGACAGACGGACGGACGGATGGATGGACAGACAGACGGTCGGGTCAAAAACATTATACCCTCTGCAACTCGTTGCGTGGGGTATAATAAACATTGCTTGTATTATCTTCAATAAGCTGTTATTCACCTCCTTCATTATTTTATGTATTACCTGAACAAAATACATTTCACCTACATAAAATGTGTTCCCCCTTTTTTTAACACGATACACATTAAAACTCTACATGGGATTATTAAGCAATATGACCTGTGTTTTATCAAAAGCTGTAAGACCACGAACAGTTGAAAATTCCAAAATAACTATCGGTATACAACAGTGCTTGTATTTGCCCTTTTTTTCTTGAATGCACTCTTGAAATTAATTTGAATTGAGCTTTTAAAGACATATCCGGTATTTACCTGAGTATTTGACAATAAATAAACACTGGTCCCTGACGAATCAGTCTGTGATCCAGGCTCAATCTTAACTTTTCTGTCCTTTGTTATATCATATGTCATGTATGGAGATGGAAGGCTTGCTGCTGCTTTCTTCACTAAAACCTACAAAGGTCATAATGAACAAGCATTCTGAGAGTATTGCATGGCAATACATAGTCCCCTACCGGGTAAAAATTCATTATACTGGAACAAAATGCTAACTTGTTCTATAACTTGTCATGGTGTAAACAAAAAGTAAATATCATGCCAATATCTTCAAGCATGACTAAAAACAGTGTTGAAAACTGATTATATGAGTGAATTTTTCAAGTCCAAGGACCATAACTCTGCACAAAATTATTAGACTGAAACAAAAATTTGAACTTGATCTGTAACTTGTCATGATAAAACTATATACCAATTATCAATCAATATCTTATAAGCATGATGAAAAAAACATTAGATATGATTAATAGTTCTTTAGAGTTAGATATGATGTAATACAGTGTATATCTATTTTCAAATTATAATCAGATTTTATTAATAGTTCCAAATATTTTTTTCTTTCATTTGTCACAAACTAATATAGATTTATAACTTATCTATAAAATGACAACAACTTTTATCTACACAATGTAATGTATTGAAATATATACATTAAAAAAAATAGATTATTATCTAATTAAAGGATTTCTCTTCATAATTTTTTTTATATATATAGCATTCAGAAAATTAGTTAATACTAAATAACAAACAAACCTGTCAAATAATTCCTCAAATAATTTAACAAAGAATTACTTTTAAAAAATGAGTTATCTCCCTTTGTACAGAAATATGGTTTAACATAGTATTCTAACATTAGATATGGTCCAGAGTTATGGTCCATAACTCTGGACTAAATCATCAAACCTGAACAAAATTTCGAACTTGATCTATAACTTGTCATGATAAAACTATATACCAAATATCAAATCAATATCTTCAACAACGAAGAAAAAAAGTGGGGAAAGCTGATTTGCCGGACTGACGGATGGACAGACAAACGGACAGACGGATGGCATGCAAACCTAAAGTCCCCTTCGACTTCATCGGTAGGGGACGAATAATGAACATTGCTTGTAGTGTATGCCCTTATATTTTACAGATATGGGTTTTTTGCTTGTAAGAGAACAAACATGCTTAACCCCACCACATTCTTCATGTGCCTGTCCCAAGTCAGGAGCCTGTAGTTCAGTGGTTGTTGGTTCATATCTGTCACATTTGTTTTTCTTAAACGTTTTTTGATAAATTAGGCCGTTAGTTTTCTCAATTGAATTGTTTTATATTTTTCATGTTGGGGCCTTTTATAGTTGACTATACAGTATGGGGTTTTCTCATTGTTGAAGGCTATGGTTGCCTATAATTGCTTACATCCACTTCATTTGAACTTAGGTGGATAGTTGTCTCATTGGCAATCATACCAAATCTCCTTATTTTTATATTGAATAATCAAACCATTACAGTTTCTTCCATTTGATGTTCTTTCTCTGAAAATAATTTTAGGAGGACAAAATGATATTGATATTACCAAAACATATGGATATTGACAAATAAAGCACACTAATATGGACAAAGCATATCAATATTGACAGAAGAACAAAACTAAAATAAATCAGTTTTTGATCATTCCTACCTTTAACCTTAAACATTTCTAATATAGTTGATATATTGTAATCATACTTTAAGTTGGGTTCTAACTAGCACCATAGTTCCAGATTAAAGGTAGCAACTCTTTAAACACAGAACTTCTTTTTTTCAAATATAAGAAAAAATAAAAAATCATTTTAAAATTCAAAGAGTTCACTCAACAAATAGAACCATATATATCCTAGTTAGGAGGTTATGCAATCTACATGCAAATACTTGTTTTAAGTTTAATTTGTTGGTCTAAATTCTTTCTTTTCTGCATTTTATTATAACCACTTTGTTTTCAATAGCAAACACTATTTGTTATATAATTAATTCAATCTCTACATTTAGAAATGATGCTTTGCGATAAATACCTTCATGAGATAACCTTCATCAGTACCTAGTACTGCTATATTCTGTACATTCTGTTGTATTACATTTACAGTAGACAGGATAGACTTTGCCTCATGGTAAATGGCTGAATATTTCAAGGTTTGTCTGCCTCTGACATCTAAATTGGTACTTTCCTGAATACCATTCAAATTCTTTTTTCCTCCACAAAAGTTACTCAGATCTTGTCCAGTCTAAATCATTCAAGAATTGATAATATAATTACAAGTTACTTAGTCAATTTATAACAAATAAAAAAACAGAGTTCCAATGTCCCCCGCGTTGCACATATTTTATCTATCCAAAGCAATAACTAAAAAAAGTACTTTTTTTTTTGGTTCTTTAAAAGAATTTATAAATATCTTTAATATATTAGAGAAATGAAGGCTTCAGAGCATAAAAGCCTTGTTCATTGATAAATTATTTATTTTTACTATGTACATTGTATTGTGTGCGATTTTGTCCCATGTACATTTACTCCATATCCTTTCATTTTCTTTTCAGAGCAAATGCAATATGATTTCTATTATAATTAATTTTTCCAAGGGGCATAACTCGTTAAAAATATTTGATCAGCACTAATTTCGAAAGTGTCAAAGACATTGCTGATATAAACCTATGATATAAGTTTCATAAAATTCTGCTAAGAATTGTACATATGAGAGCACTAAAAATGCAATTTTCCGTATAATCAATATTTCTAAGGGGCATAACTCTTTTAAAAATAATTGATTGGCACTGATTTTCCAACTCAACAAAAACATTGGTGATATAAACCTATAATATAAGTTTCATAAAAATCTGGCAAGTATTGTACACATAAGAGTGCTCATAAGGTAATTTTCCATATAATTAATATTTCCAAGGGGCATAACTTTTTCAAAAATAATTGATCAGCACTGATTCTCGAACTCATCAAAGACATCGCTGATATAAACCTATGACAACATGTATGATATAAGTTTCATAAAATTCTGGCAAGAATTGTAAACATTAGAGCGCTAACGATGCAATTTTCCATTTAATCTATATTTCCAAGGGACATATCGCACAAACGGACGGACGGAGGGACGCCCGGTATTTTCATGTCCCCCGCAACACGTTTTGCGGGTAACAAAAAAAAACAACCTTATATGGTGGCATCTGACCTACATGTAAGTGACTTTATCACTGACATTTACTTGCTGTGAGCAACACAATAGTGTCACTAATGGAACAGGATCTGCCTACCCTCCCATAAATGACACCTGAGTTCATCCCCCTCCCCAGTTTTTGGTGGGGTAACTGTTGTTCAATCCTAAGTTTACTGTGTAGTGATTTGTAGACTGCTGTTTGTCTTTTCATCATTTCTAATTATTGACCATGCTTAATACATGTATGTTCTATGGTCCAGGGTTTTCACTAATACGAGTCCACATTTTTATGGTGGGTCCAAAGATGCATCAAGATTGTAAAATGTTGTATCATATAACCATGTACATATATCATCATTTTAAAGCATTAGTTTAAAAATAATCTAAATCTCATGTCATGTCCTTGCTGTATTTTGTCATGGAGACTGAAATAATATATTATATAGCAATAAAATTTCTTCTTTGCACTGTTGGACTTGCCATGGCCATAAATGATGAGTCCCTGGACCTGTCTTCAAAAATTTCTAGTGAGAACCCTGAGTTCTGCCTCTATTTAAGTTTAAGTAATGGAAACAGTTGTTGATGGGTTTTTGCTCTCCATACTTACATCTCTTGCACATGATCTTGCCTCTGTCAGACTTTTTCCAACAAACCAAGCAACCTCATTCCCAAGTCCACTGGTAAAACAGTCTTTTTGTAACTGTTCAAATAGCTCTGTAATTTTGTTAAAGTCAAAAGTACACAAAACTGACCCTTGACTTTTATCAGGAGAAGGATTAAGTTCATCCTGTTTTCCAAAAGTTATGTATAAATACTTTTCGAATGGCAAATATCCATAATCAGAAAGTATTGCACTGGTTGCTATGTGATAAGTTTTGTCTCCATGGTTACACTCAATTGGGAGTTCTGTGTAGGAAGAATATTTTGTGTCATCTTGGCAAATTTTTATTATTTTTGTTACAAATTTATTGTTCTCAACTTCAAAGGCTGTTGGATCATTCATCTGAACTGAGATGAAATATGTGTAGCCACTATTTTCAAATCCATAGATATAGTAGGAACGAAATTTATACTGTAGTGATGGGTCAACATTCATAAATGAAGAGGATGTAGTAGAATTTAGAAAATAATCCATATTCCATGGGTTCGAGGAATATTTTACCTCTCGACTTGAAATTATTGCTGGTGTAAACTGTAAGGACTGATTGGCTGTCCCCATGGCAACATAGAGTAAACGATTGTCGGAACTTTCCAACTTACTATGAGTTGACCCAAAAAAGGCATAAGAATTTGAGTAAGAACTACCACTGACACTTCCGACAATATTATTTGTTGCTTTCATCGGGTTCAATGTTTTGTTCATTGCCCCAATGTCACTTAATGAGTATGCCGAACATAAGCCATGGTTTGCAGTCCCACAAGCTAAAATGTATTCCTTTGGTTCATTGATAGCCAGAACATGTATTTTATTATCAGTTAACTCCCTTTGATAGCTACATGGAGCAGGCAGTGGGTAACACATTGAATTGTCCAAAATTGGTCCAACTGCTACTTCACTAATCACAGATAAATTACTGTAAAGCTGAAGAAGAATATTGTTTCCGCCTACATACAAATATCCTGATCTTTTATCGATTGTAATTTTCCCGAGAGGTCCATTATTCTGATCGACATTGTATGTCTGGAATATACCCGTAACAACTAAAAATGAGCAAAAAAGCGGTAAGAATACTGTAATCAGTTTCTCAAACATGGCTAGAACTATGAGGTCTTGACATCAGAAACAGCAGTTGGTGGCTACATGACGGTTATTTGTGATACCTGTAATTAAAATAAAAGATTTAATATCTAACCTACAGTACATAAAAGTATGTGATTCAGTTGAAAATCACTATAGCAACCTGGTGTTGACTTTGAGACATGGCTGTTGCTAATGTTTTTGTATTGCAATAACATCGGTTAATAACCCTATTATAATACCTATTGGATATACAGAGATTTTTCAGTGAAACACCAGCAATCACCAGCATCCACAGTGTGGGGTACTTATATACACAGCCATGTCTGATTGGAATAATGTGATTAAATCTGATGCATAGTGTAGGTTAAGTTCTATGCTTTCTGGAAGTTAAAGAACCCTTGTTACAACTCTCTGAGAGGTCCATATATAGGTGGCCTACTAAAAGGCAAATTTCTGTGCCTATCAAACCTACTTTCATTTACCATGTTGAGTGGTACAGTACTACATTTTCAAATAAAGAAAAGACCATCATACCTTATCCTAGACAAAAAACCTCAGCATCAAAACAGACATGCATGATATTGTGAAATGGTCTATTCTAATTTTGGATTTTTATGCATATCTATCGATACACCAAATCTTGATGGCTGAAACAGGGCACAACAGAAAAGATAACAGAAGGGGTAATAGGGTGATCTAACTGAATTATATTTTATATACTTTTATACAAGCAGTCAAGACTGCATTACATACTCCAACAAAACCTATTTTAATAATTTTTGACACATTTTTATACAGTCGTATCTCTTAGACTACATAAATTCTATAATAGGATAGATGGCCTGTCTCTTGTTTTTCAATGGAAGCACAGCCAATTAAAACTAACTGTAAATTACTCCTTGTAAAAAATAATGTAAAACAGATATAAATTTCATACCAATTTATATCATTTGAAATAATTAAAATGACAAATAATTTGTTTAAAGAAAATTTCATGCATTTCCAGTTAGATCTTCTACAAAAAAAAATGTACTACTGGTTAGACAAAGAAGATTTTTTTCTATTTTTTGTATATACCATGCTACTGCATAAATTTAGTACATTTCCCTTTCAAACTATATTCAAACTTAGAGTATTAGGTTAATTGTAATAAATGTTGAAGTTGAAATTTCAAAGAAATCTAGATTCAACTTATAATTTAAAATTTACTTATAAATGGCAAAAAAAAAATGTTTTTTTCTTTTCTTACCTCATATTAAGCCCTTGTAATTATGATTATGTCACAGTTTATCCTAAGACATTCCTTTACGTATATGTCAAGGGGTTCAAGTGCCTCGTCACACTGAATCGGAAGCTTAACAATTATCCTTTTATTTACTTATGTACAGATTTATATTATTACTTTTGTGTTTGATTGCTTGTTTCCTTTGTTTAGTACTTATTTTCAAGCCGACTGAAGCAACTTAAAAGATAAAGGAGTAAAAGTTTATCTGAGATGGGGTTCTTGTTGTGAAAAAATTCTAAATTATTAGAATAAATTTATATTTAAGTTGAACTAATTAATTACATCAGTTAAAATAAATTGATATCCTTTTTAACTTTGTTGAACTTATCAAATTAGGTTTGGATATTATTTTAAATTCACATAATATTACATTTATTATTATTTTTTCCATTTGAAAACTTTAATTGCAAATTAGATTCAATTAGAAATTTGACTAAAATGAGTCGTCTCATAGGGGTCTCATAAATGACATCTGTTTAAGTATAAAGTCTTTGGGTCTTACAATTAATTCAATCAGAACAGTTTTCTAACAAGGTTTTTTTGTCAATTTTGACCACACATGACCTCACTTAGAAGTACTGTGGATTCATTTATTTTTGTGGATACCAATTCTTCGTGGATAGAGAAAATTGAAGTTCGTGTATATTTGATTTCGTGGTTCTGCCAAAGTCTCTATACAGACCCATAATTTTTTTTAACTTCGTTGGACATTTAAAATCGGTGTTTACCTGTATACCCGCGAAATCCACAAAAATTGGTGTACCACGAATAATAATGAATCCACAGTATAAACTTACTCCATGGTTATATAAAATATATCCAAAAGTTATTTTATAAAAGTTTGTCATTTCTAGTGAGTAAAAAATAAAACAAATTTATTTGATACCATGAAAACCACAGCCAGACTCACTAATTTTGTTTACATGTATACCTATATACCATTAATAATACAAGGAGTTAATGATATATATAGGTAAAAAAAAATCAGAAACATGTGGTGGTGATGAAAACACTCAGTTAGTTTAATAGTCTCATATCTATAATTTATTAGCGACCAACATTTTTCATATATAGTGGTGCATTGTGAATTAATTGTGTATTGTAGCTTAAATTGCCTCTTATGATTTGCTGATTTTGTGTACTGATAAATGATCATAATGATGGGAGATCACTAATCAAAAAAAAAATTAAAGTCAGAAATTTTATATTAAAATCAATATTGTAGAAATTCAGAAATTTTGGCAATACATTTTTATTATTGTAAAAAATTTTGACAGCTTAGGTTTTTGTATGCAGCATTTCATTTAAATTTCAATAATTAATTTCATTTTCATTGTTCAACAATCGAAAAAAAAACATATAAATGCAAAAATTTCTCAAAATTACAATATTTATATTCAGTTTTCATGCTGATTTAGTTTTTAATTTTTGTCCGTGGTTATATCAACAAAAAAGAGGTGAAAGATACCAAAGGGACATTCAAACTCATAAGTGGAAAATAAACTGAAAACGCCAAGGCTAAAAAAGAAAAAACATTCAGACAAACAACAATACACAAAACACATTATAGAAATCTAAAGACTGAGCAACATTATGAGCCCACCAAAAACTGGGGGTGATTTCAGGTGCTCCTAAATAAATAAGAATATTCTGTAAAAAAAATCATCAAATCAAGGTTGTATAGTAAGAACCTTCTTACTATACAAAACCTTGATCAAATTAATTTATTATGAAAGTGTACAAGAGGATTATCTAGTCATAACTATAAATCACTGTTTGTAAAGTGTCAAATCTTAATCACTATCAACCATAAAATTTCATATGACCAAACTCTGTGTCCAGATGATGTTCACACCTAAAATTGCTTGTAATAAATAACAAATCATAACTGCCATTAATCGATAATATAAGACATACATGTATCAGTATGTCATGTGCAGAGTGTTGCCCCTCCTTTTGCCAATTGCATGGCAAATACTGATACTACAAATAAATTCATTTCAAATTGTTCATTTTAATGAGGCTTATAACATTTACTTTTTTTTAAATAAGTTACTACATGTACAGTATATTATTGAAATAACCATCTCCTTTTCTCTGATACATTGAAAAACCTTAACTTTAAGGGACAAAAACAGAGTCCTTAATTGCCACTCATTCTCTTTCAAAATAAGTTCCTATTGCTACAGTAAACATCAAAGCTAATTAACAAATATACAAGTCAAAAGTTCACATCAAAGTTAATTTAAGAAGTATTCTATATATATACATGTATAAGATGAAAAAAATTACCTGTTCTCTGTACGTGTTATTATTAAATTGTCCATTAACATTATGAAATTTAATGATAAATAATAGATTCCTCATATTTTTCAATTATGCATGTTTTTGTACAACTGTCTTGTGACTGTTTACATGCATAGTCCATTTCAAGTACGAGAAAATGATTAATTTAAAAATTTTCTCCATATTTTAGACATGTCAATCTATGCCTCATAAAACAACGCCTTCAGGTATAAATAAAACGATTACATGGTCAATCACGTATATTAAATAAGCATTTTTACCTGAGCAGGTAATCGTTACACATATAAACATCTTCAATTTCTGATAAATGATTATTATCATTTAAGAATTAAACAAACATTCTAGCCAATATTCAGTTGACTTTTCCAAGTCTAAATATATAACTGATCATAACTGTAACCTTTGTTTCATAGGTTATAATAATTGCTATATTCAATGTTGAAAAGCAGCATATTTATAACTGCATAAAATTTCATGATTAAAGTTAAAGTTTATTTTGAAAATCAAATATGTCAAACATGTTTTAATCCCCAGGATACATGTATATTGCACTTAACCTGTCACAATATAGCTGTTTTTGCGCTGACCAGATGTTAAACAATCATCAATTATAAATCAATCATTGTACTTAAATTTGCATGTGTATTTATGAAGATCACTGATTCTTACTATGTTTTATCTTATGTTTGTAACTATATTGTCCTCTTGTACCCCTGTATGTGCATATCTGAGGTTATGAATAAAATCTTGAATCTTGATTATAAGATTTCATAATTATCTAACTCTTGTCATCTGCATTTTCAATATGACCTGCAGTGTAGTACCTATAAGCATGAAAAGTGACTATTTCCTGATTTTATACAAGTGTATGATTCATCCCAAAATTTTGCTTTTTTTCTTTACACAATTGAGTGGCAAAACCATGTGAAGGTTAACTGCTAAATTTTCAAAAGTCATGATCTTCATCAGGGGTGGATCCAGGATTTTAGGTTAGGGGGGTGCAAACTTAAATTTTCGCAGAGCGGAGCAAGGCGGAAATTTTTTTGAGGTAAAATTATCGAAATATTCTTCTAGAGTGGGTGGACAACCCATGCTTTGCAAATTTATGGGGGTGCCCCCGCCTGTATCCACCCCTATTCATATACCTAAGATTTGAAAAGTTACAATACATATTCTTCTTATGACTTAAATTAGTATTATTTGACAATTATTTTAAAAGCATTTACAAAATACTTTAGTAATGTTCATTTCTCCCTATTAGCAATTCTTATCTAAACATTAAATAAAGGGTAAATTCTAACATTTACGTATTTCCCCTTTTTTATATAATCATTGAAGAAAATGAGTATCTTCAAGAGAACCTCAGAATAAAATGTCATGAATATGAATAAATTGAAAATCAAGAGTTATAAAAAAAGAAATGTGTGATCAACTTCAATGATACAGCAATGCAACAATGCAACAATACAAAGAGGCAAGTGAATCAAC